TGTTTTCTTTTTTCTTTTTTTTTCTTTTTTGTTTGTTTGTTTACGTTTCTTTTTTCGCTCTCCCCTCTGTCTCTCTCTCCCTCTCTTTCTTTCATCCTATCCCCCAGTCATGTCTGTCCCGTTTCTAACAACTGAAAACAAAATAAAATAAATACATAATTATAATAAAGGTCAATCAAATGGACCATCACTTGGTAAAATAAATCCACTTGGCCTTTCTTGGCCTTCAGACAACAATTCTGATGCTAAAGATCCAAACGGGACAGGCAAAAAAAAAAGAATTAACTCCACCCGATTATGGAGCCGCTGAACTCCGTGTGGGGTTCATGTCATCGTGTGTCTGTGTCCTGTTAATCGGACAACACGAAGCTTGTCACGCATCGTGTTTGCACATGTGCATTTTTGATGAACCTCTGGACTTTGATGGAGGCTGATGGAAGATTAGCGTGTAGCCAATCTGTCGCTAAGCTCTGCTTTCACTGCTCTGACATCAGTACGATCTGCACTTTGTGTGGAAACACAGCCAGCGTTAGCAGGTAAACAATCACTTTCATTTATCACGAACCACCTCAGCCAAATAATGAGCTAATTCATTTAGCACCTTAGTGCTGAAAGCTTTAATTATGGGGGTTTACTTTCATGTACTAATTTCACGACAGAAAGAAAGAAATCATTTGTCCCACACGGCGCTTCTTTGTAAGTTCCTGCTAATCATCTCCACCAATGGGGATAAAAATCCCCCAAACTGCAGTCAGACTGTTTAACACCTGTGTGCTCATTTAAAAATCAGCACCTTGTGTTTGTTTTTTCTCTTTGAGCTCATTTTATGGAAGAAAAGAAAAGAGCTTCATATGCTGCGCTGTGTGTGTAGTTAGCTGTGAGGCCCAGCAGGGGGCAGCAGCAGCTCCACTCTGTGTGTTTAAACAGTCAGACACAAAGTGAGGACGCTGTGAAGGAGGAAACACGGCCGACAGGTTCACCTGCTCAGGTGACACACGAGCGCAGCACGCACAGGTGAGCTGAGTCTGAGTGAACAAGATGTAACGACTCACTCTCTGTCGATGACCAGGCAGG